GTCGATGAGCTCGTCGTCATGCCGGCCCTTCTCCACCAGGGTCCCCATCTGACTCCTGAGTGTCTTCACCTCACTCGCCAGCACCTTGTTCCGAGACCTCACGCCCTCACACTTCTTTCTCAGCTCCTCAAGCTCTCTCTGGAGGGCGTCCCGCTCACTGGCAAGTTTCTGTAAATAGAAAGTGAGGGCACGGGCAGCAGGGCTGTGTGGGGCCTTGGCCACGTCTTCCCTGGCTCCCACTCCGTGGCAAGGCCTGGGGCTGCGCTGGGGGTGCTTGCTGAAGGCCACAGAGCCAGTCACTACAGCCAGGGCCCTGGGTCCCAGCCCAGGCCTCTCAGGGACGTCAGGTGGCCAGCAGCCCCCACCCTCGCCCCAGCACATGACAGCACTGACGAATGACAGCACTCCCCACCTCCGCCCGAGACGCGGGCTTCCTGCACTTGAGAGGGAAGCCGGCCAACTGCGTGTGTCCTCCAGAGAGCGTGGCCAGTGCTGCTTGTGAACCTTCCCACGCTGGGGAAAGGAGAACAGCCGCACTTCAGAAAAAGTGCTAGGCTGGGTTCCCACTACAGCACCTCGCCCCACCAGGAGCCGGAATGAGAAGGGAGGGTCTGTCCCCACGTCCTCCGTGACCAGCTGGCACGGATCACTTTGTCAGCTACCAGCTGGAAACTCAGCGCAGCACCTGTCTTTGGAGTCTCTCCCTCACTCACCCCTTCATTCTCAAGGGTTTCCTGAGGGCTTACTATGGGCTGAGTACTGCTTTACAGATGCCGGGGGACAGCAAAAAGCAAAACAGTCCTTGTCCTCAAGGAGCTGACACCCTAATGGAGGAGACAGATGACCCCACATAGTGACAGACGCGAATCTGAAAGTGGGAAACAGTAACGTCGAGAGGGTGGCCCAGGCTGGAGTGCAGTGGCGTGATCTCGGCTCACTGCCACGGTCAGGGAGGCCTCTGCACAGGTGGCATCTGAGCAGAGACGGAAGGAGGGAGGGGAGGGCAGAGGCCCTGGGCAGAACGCGCGCGGTGGGGGCGCGGCGAGTGGACCCTAGAGACAAGCTGGAGGCCTGAGGAGGAGCTCGGGCAGTGGGTGACATCCGCTGCCTGGTCCCGAGGGTGACTCGTTGCTGGAAAAGTGTTTTCATGTCCTTGGCGAAGTGAATTATAGAAATGCGAAGCAAACATGAATCCACAGGACGCGAGCCCTCTGAAGGGGGCACTCCGCACCGGCTGCCCTCCTGCCTACACACTCCAGACTCCCACGGGTGCCTGGCAGAGGGAACGCAAGCAGGAAGCCGTTTCCTTCCTCCCGCCGCAGCATCCTGTGGTCAGTCCAACTGCCCAACATCATCTGAACTGTGCGAGCGCGTATGTCCAAGTGAGGTGCGTCTGAAACCCATCAGCTCCAAATCTCAGCTCCCTGTCTCCCCTTGAACGCACCCTGCCTCCCTTACCCACCTGCCATACTCCCTAGAAGCCCTTTAGGACTCTTCCTCCCCCTCTCTCTTCCTTGAGCCCCGGGAAGTCTGTGCGCACAGCCCCCGGTGCCTGGCCCTTCCACAACAGTTCACCATCTCGGCGAAGGTCCTCGGTCATCTCCAGGATCACCACTCCGCCTCCCATTCCGCTTCCCACCTATTCCTCCTCTTGCTCCAACCATGTGACCTTTCCAAATGGACAGCTGACCACCTCCCTCCACAACTTAAAACCCTTTGGTGGGCTGGGTGTGATGGCTCACGCCTGTAATCCCAGCACTTTGGGAGGCTGAGGCAGGTGGATCACCTGAGGTTAGGAATTTGAGACCAGCCTGACCAACATGCTGAAAACCCGTCTCTACTAGAAATACAAAAATTAGCCGGGCGTGGTGGCAGGTGCCTGTAATCCCAGCTACTTGGGAGGATGAGGCAGGGGAATTGCTTGAACCGCAGAGGCAGAGGTTGCAGTGAGCCGAGATCGTGCCACTGCACTCCAGCCTGGGCGACAGAGCAAGACTTCACCTAAGAAAGCAAAAACAAAAACCTCTGGTGGTTCTCCACAGCCTTCAAGACACAGGCCAAAAGTCCCGGCCAGCACAAAAGGCCCGCAGGCCTGGCCCTCGGGGGTCTCACCGTCCCCTCCTCACGGCTGATGGTCTAGAGTGTGGGAGGTGCAGCGCGGCCAGGGTCACAGCGTCCCTAACACAGGGCCTGGCCCAGAGTCGGTGCTCACAGGCAAAAGTCTCCTGATGGAAAGGCAAGGCCTCACGGTCAGGTACCTTGCTGCCAGGGCCACGGAAGTGGGCCTGTCGTGTGGCCTGCCTGCACCTCTTCCTGCTGCTTCTGCTGCCTTCTTTAAAGCGGCCCCCACTCCCCACTCTCACGGCAAGTTTGGGGAGGCTAACTCATCCGCCAAACTTTGGGGCAGGTATCTGAAGCTTGACCAATCAAAACACCCTGTACTCCTGGCCACAGGGATGGACCCAGGGATGGCCACATGACCCAAGCTAGACTGAAGACACTCAGTTCTAGGACTTTGTTGGAACTATTTGGACAGAGAAGTCCTTTGTCTGTGGAGGCTGCACTGGAGGGGGAAGCTGGGACTAGCCAGGGTCCCTGTGGAGGAGAGCGGCGCCAGCCCGGGAGCTGGTGGTGCGGCCAGCAAGGCCCCGCTCCGCACCTGAAGCCAGGCCCCTTCCGGATTGTTCATTCATATGGACCGATAACTCCTCTGTTGCTTAACCCTGGTAGAGTTAGAGTTCCAACGTGCCCAGTGCAGCCAGTGAGACGCGGCCCCCAAAGCTGAGTGCAGCCTGCCCACCTCTTTCATCAGCCTGGGACTTTCCTCCTTGAAGCCGAATCTAACCCTCTCACACTTCTGGGGCCGTGACCGTCTCCCTCTCCCCTTTACATCGGGAGAATTTCAGGGGCAGCGTCTCCGAAACAGCCAGGATGGGGCCAAGCAAAGCTGATTGAATGGGCTCACAGTGAGGCCCTGGTCAGGCACCTCAGGCTGGTTTGACAGGACGTGAGGAACATGCGGAGGTGACCCAGGTGGGGGGGCGACTCCTGCCTAGAAGGGTGGCTCTGAGCCCTGCAGGCAGCATCGGGACCTCCCGCTCCCACAGCCCGGCTGGCTCCTCCCTGGGCAGTGTTACCTCCAGGCCTTCCTGCTTCTCCCTCTCCAAGCTGCGGATCCTCAGCAGGTGTTTCTCCTGTGCCGACAGCTTCCGTGGGTCTGGGCACACAGACAACTCATCGCTGCCTGTTCCTGCAGGCTGGCTCCGGGCCTGGCCCAGCTGCTTCTCAAGCTCTCGAACCTGAGGGTGGTAAAACCCGTCATTCACAGTGGGTCTGCAGCCAGCCCCTGCTACTCACAAGTGATCAGAGACCCCACAGACTGAAGACGGAACCGCGTCTCCAGATGGCTGTGGAAGCCCCACCGGAGGAGGACGAGGGCTGGGGCGTGACCTGAGCTAGCACAGCAGAAGGCACCAGGCAAGTTCAGCTTAGAAAAAAGAGAACATCACTGTCTCTCAGGGGCTGTCTGAGGCTGGGAAGCACAGCTGTGGCCCCAGGAGCCTGGGAGGGATAGGATGGCAGCTCTCAGTTCAAGAAAGTACTTTCTTATTTCATTTGTTTAGAGACAGAGTCTTGCTCTGTCGCCCAGGCTGGGGTGCGGTGGTATAATCATGGCTCACTGTCATCTCTGCCTCCTGGGCTCAAGCAATCCTCCCACCGCAGCCTCCTGAGGAGCTGGGACATGCCACTGTATATAATAATTTATATATATATATACTTATATATATACATATAATTTTGTATATATACATACAAATATATATATATATAAATTAATTTTGTATATATATATATTTTTGTGTGTATACATATGTGTGTGTGTGTGTATATATGTACACGCACATATATATATTGTAGAGACGGGTTTCACCATGTTGCCCAGGCTGGTCTTGAACTCCTGGGCTCAAGTGATCTGGCCACCTCAGCCTCCCAAAGTGCCAGGCAAGGAGGAACTTTCTACTGACAGACCACCTAAGACTGGGCAGGCCCCTCAGGAGGCGAAGGTCACTTACAGGAGGTACTGCAGAGGTTACGCAGGGTTTGGAAGCAGAGAGTGGCTCAAAGCCTCATGTACCGTGTGACCGCAGACGGGTGGCCTCTCTGAATCTCAGCTCCCTCACCTGAGAGCACGCCCTGCGTAGCACTGTCATGTGAGGCTGTCTGAGCCTGAGAATCCTCTGAGGTTCTTGGACTGACCTATCTTGGTGCTCATTCCAGATCAACAAACTAGAGTTCTAGGGGAAGGGCCTCAGCATCTGCATTTTAAATGCTAAGGTGATTTTTAGGATTAGGTAACTTTGTAAAATCCCAAGACGGTCTAGGTGAAGCCATCAACACAGCCTGGCCCGCGTGAGCTCTCGGCAAGTGGCAGATAGATGTCATCCCACAGAACAATGCCCTTATCGCCCTGGTAACCCTGGGGTAGAAGCAGACAACTCCTAGGGTCCTTCCCACCCTGGTTTCTGCGTCAACGCAACCAAATGGCAGAACAGCGCTGGTAAACTTGAGCCAGGAAAGGAAGCACAATTGGCTAGGCTACCTGGCCAAGGGCAGGGGCACGGCTTTGGCAGCACCCGTCAGTGCCCTCGTGTGGCGCTGTGTGGCAATTCCGCTTAATCATTAAAGAACACTGTTGCCTTTAAGAATTCGACATACAACGTAATAAGTTGTTTTGTCTTCTTGCGGCCAACACTGTGTGTCACCCCATTTCACAGGTGTGAGGATGACGACAGAGGAAGATGAAGGGATTTGCCCAAGGCCACCGAGCTGGCAGACCAGTGGGCAAACCTCACCTCAGGCGTCTACAACCCCAAGGCCATGCATGGGTCATCATCTGCTTCCTGGAGTTGTTCCCCCTCTATGTTGGCTTCCAGGACCCCACGGCAGACACGAGGACCAAAGCCACTGTGACCCTTGAAGTCCCCGGGAACAAGGGTGATACGCTTGGCAAAGAGTGGAAATCAGAGCTGCTCACGGGCTTCTCAGTCGAAGGGAAAAGGTGAAAGAACCACACGTAACCTTCACGCAGTGCTCGCTCCGTGACTTACAAGTACCGACTCAACTCTCCCAACAACCCTGTGGGGTAGGTACCGCTGTTATCCCCATTACACAGATGAGGAAACTGAGGTACAGAGCTAAAGAAGCTTGCTTGAGGTCACACAGCTGGTGAGCAGAGAGCTGGGATTTGAATCTGAGCCGCGGGGCTCCCGAGCCCCTGCCGCCAGCCTCTTTTGGAATGCTCCAAAACATTCAGATAATAAAGAGGGAGACAAGGCTAAGTTTTATTGGGTAATTAAACTTTCAAAAGACTACAAGCATCTGGACAAAACTGAAAAGCTTACAACAGTCACGCAAATTTACACGAACTAGGAAAAGAAGATGCCTGGAGTAAAAGAAATCAACCAAAGGCGCCGGCATTTGTGCAGCCCCGGTGCCTGGCGCGTGGGGTCATGTACGAGCTTGTTCATTAAGTAACAGGTTAAAATCAGGCTGGCTGGCGAGAAGGGGACACATTGTGAGACCTAAAGGCCTTTTCTGGGTACTGTGTGCTGAAGTCTCTAAGGGGCCAGGGCAGGTCTTTCTGGGATGTTCTAAATCCTTAGAAGTCTGATGACTCACCCACCTTGCTTTGCAAAACGAGAATTTGTTGAGCCCGACCCCTCCAGGTCCCCGGCAAGGACAGGAGCTGCTGGACATCGATGCCTTCCCCGACCTCGCTGGCCAAAACCTGAAATAGGGCAGGGCCTTCAGTGTGGCCAAAAGAGAGGGCTCCAGCAGACCCTGGCGGGGCTGCGTTTTTACAAGCACACTTGGAAGCAGCCTTCACCTACACAACCTTCTTCCATCCCAGAGCGCAGCCCTCCAAGATCAGTCTTCCATGTCCCAAGGGCAGCTCTCCCTGGGAAAGTAGTGAACCCATCACCCCTGGCACTTCTTGGCAGTGCTTAGAGCAACCAAGAAGCCGCCGACCACGCCCAGATCGGGCCCCTTGCTCCTGACCTACTCTGGGACTGCTGAGCCGCAAAGCTGACCGACACCTGCTTCCCTAACCCACTCAGCTGTCACCTCGAGCTGAGCTAATTCTGGCTATGGGAAGCGCATCGCCACAGAGCCCTGCCCTCTGTGAAAAGCCACAGGCAAGTGGACCTCTGAGTGCAGCAAAAGGTGGGCTACTGAATGTCAGCTGGGGCACTGTGGTCCAGGAAGGACCCAGCTTTGCAGCTGTTGACGGGCAGCACTCTCCCAACCTCAAGGATCTGCGGCAGCAACAATACACTCAGCCTGTGACCTGGGCCCCTCTGAGGCTGTCACAGAAACCCCACCCAGCACACCAAGCCTCTGGCGCTCGCCTCCACAAGAGAACACTGTTTTGGAAATCTTGGCCAGTCTGAGTGGTTGCAGCAGGGAATTCACTATGTAAATAAAAATAAATAACGAAGCAGCTGGGCCTGTGTCCCAAGTCTGAGCATTTTCCTTTGAAAGGGTCCTCTAATACACAGTAACCTACTCATGTTCTGTTACAGAGAGCGGGGCAGAAGGCAGGGCTTGGCAGGCTTCCAAGTTAAGGGTGACATTAAGGGGAGACCCAGGATCTACTGGGGCACAAGGAGTCAGGGAAGGCTTAATGGACTCTCCCTGGGTGGACTCAGTCCAGAGCAGGGCAGGCATCACAAGGGCATGTGTGCTGGGGGTGGGGACCGAGGGCTGGTGGGAGGAAGGACTGGACCTGGAGCCTGACCCAGAGCAAGCAGTGTGCTCACAGGGCTGGGCACTCAGGCTCCAGAATGGAACCCACGGTGCCAGCCATGTTCTTCCCAAGTCCAGCCCCAGCCACATAAGAAGCCCCAGCCCTGGCTCTGAAAGACCTTCTGCGCCACCCGCAGCTCCTGCTTCACAGACTGGATCTGGTTACGGAGGTCACTCATCTTCAAGGCGGTGGCTGCCAGCCTGTCCTGCAGGGCCTTCACCTCTGGGGTCTCCCGCTGTGGGGAAGGACAGGAGAGAAGGTAGTCACTATTGCCGACATGTGAACAGTCACCATAGCCCCCATTTACCCAAGTCTGTGCCAGGCACTGTGCTGAGTGTTTGACACGGAGTGACTCATTGAATCCTCACCAAGTCCTGTCAGGTAGGTTCTCTCACAGGTAGGCCCCTCATAGGTGCAGAATGGAGGCTGGTGGAAGGTCAGTCCTCCACTTGGGCTGACTGGTTAATCAAGGTGGAACCTGGATTTGAATCCTGGCAGCTTAGCTTTGGGGCTGGGCTTTCTGCAGAGCGTTGCACACACATGGATGCAGGCCTTGCCCTAGAGGTGGGGCATCTGCAGAGAGCTGTGGCACCACATGTCCGACACCTCCCGGGTGTGGACCCTCCGCTGTGCTCAGAGATCCACATCGAAGCTAAGCCACCGTCACTCAGAATACAGAGGAAACCCTGTTATTCCCAGAAGGCAGCCCAGCGTGGAGGAGTCGCAGCACCCTAATTCAGGGCCCGCCTCTCCCAGAACTGTCAGCTTGGACCTTGGGCTCTCTTTCCTAGCAGTGACCACTGAACAGAAATAAGGACCCATTTTAATTTCCAAAAGCTCATCTCTGTGGCTTGAGGAACTGCAACAAGCCCATGAAAACTGCCTGCTGAAACTCTCAGCAACGTTTTTTTTTTTAACCCACTGTTTTATTTAAACTATCTGGATAGAAATTTTTCTTAAATGTGCTGACTACTTCTCGGTCTTCAATAGACACTCCCGTGACTCACAGACATTTGACGAGGGACCTTCAAGGTCAGCCCATTCAAACCCCTTTCTTGAAAATAAGGTCGAGAGGGGAGGCAATTTGCCTTCAGGCTTCAGCTGGTTGGGGTGACACAGGTGGGATCAGAAAGAACACTGGTCCTTCTCCTGCCCTGGCTGACTCTTCCAATGTAAGCTGCTGCTACTGCTGGGCACTGTGGCCGCAGGAACACTGGTTGTTAGGCTGAGCATCCCAGCAGGCAATGATGCCAGGGCCCTCTGCTGCTGCCCCACAGGGCAGAGGGGCTGAACTTCACGCAGCAGGGCTGGTCCTGCAGTGGCTTTCTCCAGCAGGCACAAACAAAGGCTCCTGTGAATGCTGGTGTGAAAGACAGATCCAAGTATACTGGGTCTGGAAAGTTCCATGGCCCCAGAGGCTCGGGGCAGCCCAGCTGAAAACCAGTGTCCAAGAAGCTAGACAGGGACACCTGGTCCAGAAACCCCGGCCTCACCCAGCGTCCTCATCTATGGAATGGGTATAAAAACACTTCCCCATTCCGCTTCCTCCGAGCACCACCATCGGGCTAAAGAGAACAGCCAATGTGAGCAGAATGTGCCAACTGGGAACTTACATGAGACATAAGCACATTTATGTTCTGTGTTCTTCCTTCTGCCTGGCTGCCCGCCATCCCTGCACACTCTGCTGGGTGCCTGTCTCTCCTCCTGTTAAATGTGTGGCTTTGAATCTGCCCTGGGTTGGGAAGCAACGCTCCTCCACCCCCTGCCACGCCCCTGCCCTTCCTGTCAGATCTCCAGTGCCATCAGCCCCAGTGGCCCTGACCTCCGGGGTGGCCTGACCTCGGGGGTGACCCTGACCTCGGGGGTGGTCTGACCTCAGGAGTGACCCTGACCTCGGGGGTGACCCTGACCTCGGGGGTGGCCTGACCTCGGAAGTGACCCTGACCTCGGGGGTGACCCTGACCTCGGGGGTGGCCTGACCTTGGGAGTGACCCTGACCTCGGGGGTGGCCCTGACCTCAGAGGTGGCCTGACCTCGGGGGTGGCCTGACCTCGGGAGTGATGCTGACCTCGGGGGTGGCCTGACCTCGGAGGTGACCCTGACCTCGGGAGTGACCGTGACCTCAGGGGTGGCCCTGACCTCGGGGGTGGCCTGACCTCGGGAGTGACCCTGACCTTGGGGGTGGCCCGACCTCGGAGGTGACCCTGACCTCGGGAGTGACCCTGACCTCAGGGGTGGCCTGACCTCGGATACCGAGGGCCCTGGGACTACATGAACGTCCATGTGGCTGCTGTGACCTCGCAGGGTCTCTTGGATCTCATCAGAGCATGGAAAAAGCGCACAGACGGTTCTGGCTCTAGAACCTGGGCCCTGCCCAAGCCTCCTTTTCTCATCTGTAAAATGGGGCCATGCAATGCCAACCTCAGGGAGCCTGTAAGCGTGGCTAAGATAATGCACATCGAGGGTGCTGTCTGGGGCAGCTGATGGAGGGCAATGCTGGCAGGCCTCGCCTGGCTTGAGTGGGCAGTGGGCAAGGGGGCTGAGGGCCAGACGGTGCTCTGGAGGGCCTAGGTCAGGCCCCGTCCTCCTGGCTTAGGCAGCTGAGCTAATCCTACCTCCAAACCACTTGAGAGCTTTCTGCCAAGAGTGGAATTCCACAGGCTTTGTAGGGGGTCTGCATATGGGCACACCCCCTCCGCTACCCCGGGCTGTTTCCTTTGAGGGAATAACTAAAACGCAGTCCACGGGGAGCGGACACCAATGCCGCTCACATCACGGCCTCCCGAAGCCCCACGCAGAGGGAAGGGTGCTCGGCTCCACTGGAATGTGCTTTGGAGGCTCTGGCTGGAACGTGGACTGGGCCTGCGTGCCTGGAGTGGAGCAGCTTTCTGAGGGGAACATTGCTTTAGCTCTCACTCTGATTGGGAGATGGCAGGGACAGGGACAGCGCGTGACACTGACGAATCCAGACACAGCCCATCACACACTGTTCTCTCCAAACCTGGAACCTCCCGGCTCCCTGTGGCCACAGAGTAAAGTCAAAACTCCTGCTCCAGCTGCCATTCAAGGGCTCCCTCTGTGGGTGACTTCACCCCAGCTTTTCCGGCTTCCATCCCCTTAACCTGTGAGCTCTGGGCTGCAGTCAAGTGTTACCCAGCAGACACTCAGTGCACCTTCCCCCTCTTCCTTCTCCAGTAAGGCCAGCTCAGGGTCACCCTCCTCCGTCCCAGCGTCTAGCTGCAGGCTTAATGGAGGGCGGACTCCTCTGTGAGCTCAGAGCACTGGGGCCCTCTCCGAAGTCCTCTCCACATCCCACGTTCCAATGACTCCCATTCCTCCCCCGGGATTCTCCACAGACAGAGCCTCTGGTTTTGTCTGTTTGTTTGTTTTTTGAGACAGAGTCTCACTCTGTCACCCAGGCTGTAGTGCAGTGGCACGATCTCGGCTCACTGCAACCTCCGCCTCCGGGGTTCAAGCAATTCTCCTGCCTCAGTCTCCCGAGTAGCTGGGACTACAGGCGTGCGCCACCATGCCCAGCTAATTGTTGTACTTTTGGTAGAGATGGCGTTTTACCATGTTGGCCAGGCTGGTCTTGAACACGTGACCTCAAGTGACTCACCCGCCTCAGCCTCCCAAAGTGCTGGGATTCCGGGCATGAGCGGCCGAGCCCAGCAGAGGCTGTTTTGATTCCCTGCGTCACAGGGCTTAGAAAGTCCCATCAGGCTGAGCATCAGCTTCCTATCGAGGGCAGCTCTAGCTGGGGCCTTGGAGGTGCCCAATACTCGGAATAGACCAGGGGCAGCTTAGCAGTGTCCCCTGGAGCCAGGAAAGGGCCTGAAGAATCCTCAGTCCAGCCCCGAGGAGAGCCCCTCTGCCGCCTCCCCAGCAATGAGACAGGTTTATACAAGACTAGACTTGAGGCGGTGCATTCTCCCAGAGCCTGACGGACCCATTGCTGCATACCGGGGACTGCACCGTCCTCAAGGAACGCAGAGGCAATCCCACCCTGAGGTGCAGGCGGCAGGGAAGACTGGGCTAGAACACAGGCAGCAAACTGGGAGTCCTGGGCTTGGCTGCCTCTCTCGCCACTGGCCTGGCTTCCCAGGAAAACCCTCGGGAAGCCTCCTGGAATGTTACTTAGACTCTGATGCCATTTACTGTTTGGCTTGGGGACAAAGCAACCCCCAGGTCAGTCTGCCTTCCTCTTGTGGAGCTGCAGTTCCCACCTCCTGAGTTTCAAGAACTGTTCACTGGTTTATAAAATGGGCTGTAGGGGACAAGTCCCCATTTCCAACAGCCAGTTTGGCTCTGTAGATTTGGAGCTCCACCAAAGGGAGAGGGCTGATAATATGATATAATTCACCACCGCCCTAAAGAACAGGACCCCACTGGGCAGTGGTGAGCTCCCTGCCACTGCAGTAAGGTGGAGGCTGCATGTGTCCCCAGTGAGGGTGCTGGACAGGGGCTGGCCGGGAGGTCAGCTGGGATGACAGTGGGAGGTCAGCTGGACCAGGCCTTCCCTCCTGATCCCGAGGTTCCAGGGTCCAGGGTTCTCAGGCTCCTCCCAGCCTTCCTTTCTGGAGACAGAGCTGGAGCGACACCCTCCACGGCTTCTGACAGGACATTACTGGCCTCAGGCCACAGACTTGGTGCTGCCCTCTGACGTCTGCTCTGAAGAGGCAGCAATGGTAGCCAATGGATGGGCACTTGGCTCGGCAGCGGGTGGGGCGGGGTGGGCTCGGGGGGAGGTACCTACACACGGTGAAGGAGGGCCCAGGCCGGGGGCTGCCTCGCAGAGTCCCCAGCACAGAAGAGAATTCGTACCAATGCTCCGTCTCCCGTCCGCGTCCTTGGCGGCCCGGCTCCCGCGTCGGCAGCCCCCTTGGCTGGCAGCCTGGTCAGGGCTGACTGCAGCTGAAAAAGCAAACCTCACACTTCACACTCTGCTCAGCAATTGTGCAGCCCAAAGAAAGCACTCTGGTGCCACTGTGTGTGTGGTGACCTATCTTGGTGGTGCGTCCTTTTAGCTCACTTTAGGGTCACTCATGGAACGGCTCCCCTTTAGAAACCGCTCTGGAATGGAGAGGGTTTACCTGACCGTCTGGCCCCCTCCCTAGCTGCACTGTAGAAGCAGCCCAAGGGCTCACTAACAGCTTAATAGGTAATAATGCTTCACTCATCATCTGTCTCCTGGAGTTCCAACCACAGCCTAGGAGGCAGGGCATAAAACACGATGGATTTCAGGTTACAGATGAATAGATGAGGCCAGAGACACCGTGAAGCCCGCTGGAGGCCCACAGCATTGGATTTAAAATGACGCACGGCCGGGCGTGGTGGCTCACGCCTGTAATCCAAGCACTTTGGAGGCCACGGCAGGCGGATCACCTGAGGTTGGGAGTTCAAGACCAGCCTGACAAACACGGTGAAATCCTGTCTTTAAAAAAATAAATAAAATAAAATGAAGTACCACCACACACTGTGTGATCTGAGAAAGCCTCTTAACCTTCCAACTTCAGCCCTTCCAGCTACACATGGAGAAGCTGGGAAGGCTCCCTCTTGCCCGTGCTGGGAGTCCCAGGGCCCCTCACTTCCCGCTCCAGCTCCTGGATGCGACTGGTCAGCTGCTTCACTCTGGTTTTTGCACCCTCTGATTCTGCCATCAACACCCGGTTCTTTTTTGATAGCTCCACAATTTTGGTGGCGACCACGTCTCCAGCTATACCAGCTGTCCCTAAAAAGAAGGGAATGGTGAGATCAATTAAAACATCAAACTCACACCCCACCACGGACAACACCAGGGTCTTGAGATCTAAAGCTGCTTGGCATGGATGCTCATAAAGGGCACTGGCTTAGGAGGGGCACCATACACTGAGCAGCCCTGGGCCCCAACTCCCATGAGTGGAAATGCAGCCGCTCAGAGGTTCAGCATGTTCTAGCAAAATTATAAAAGCAGAAAGCAGAGTTTTCCTTCTGTGAGACTCAGGTTTATCAGTCCAGTGCTTCATGCCATCCTCAGTGACAGGGTCATGTCCACATCCCTGTAACTCTGCTGTGCCCTCTGATGTGTAGGGTGCAGTCCCCTTGGCCCTTCTATGGCTTTGGACTCAGCCACGTGGCTTGCTTTGGCCAAAGGCATGTTACCAGATAAGGTGCAGACAAGGCAGAGGCGTGAAAAGCACTCACGCAGTTAAACTCGCCGGCTTGCGTATGCCCACCCCAGGAAGAGCATATCTGGCTGCTGGTCTCAAGAGTCAGGAGCGTAACGCGAGGAACCAACCCAGCCAGCCTGGCCCCGATCGGTGTTCAAGCTAAATAAGCGCTTACTGCTGCCGAGACTGCGTGGTTGTTTCTTACAGAGTTTGGTGGTAACACGTACCCAACACAAAGGCATACACTCATTTAGCAAATATTTGTTTTCTATCAAGTGCTGGGTCCTCTTGGTATTACGGAGTCCACAGTGGATAAAAAAGACTCATGGAGTTTACATTCAAGTAGGGAAGACAGATGGTTTAAAACCTCAAAGAAATAACTACATATTCTAATACACAGGAGTAAGTGTTGGGAAATATAGGGGAGCTGGGCAAGGGGTAAGAATGAGGAGGTGACGCTATTTTAGGTGACTGGCCGGGAACGGCTCTCTGAGGAGGTGAGGTGTGAACAGACACCTGAATGAATGAAGTGAGGGCTCAAACCAGGAAGAGTGTTCTCACCTAGGAAGGGTATTCTAAGCAGAGGAGATGCAGGTACAAAGGTCTGCAGGTGGGAACGTGCTTAGAGCATGTGAGGACCATCAAGGACCCCAGCGTAGAGGGAAGGCTCCCTGCAGTGGGTGAGGGAGGGAGGGAGGCTGGAGGGTGCGGACGGGGGAAGCTGCATGGGCGGGCGCTGTGCAGAGGGCGGGCGCTGGGAGCCAGCCCAGCGTGGTCACTGCCCAGCTGTGGCCCTGACAGCCCCTCACCCTCTCTGGAGTACAGCTCCATCGGTGTGATGGCAGATGTGGTCAGATGGTCGGCGGGCTTCCTGAATGCTTCTGACACGGTAGCAGGGAGTAACTGGCAGGCCTGTTTTCAGTCCTGCTTTTAACATGGCCATCACATGCCTCAGAACAAGATGACGGGTGACAACTAGTGGCAAACAGGCACTCGATGGCTTTCAAATCACCTCCTGCCAGCCTGGCCAAGGCAGCAAGGGGGCAACCAGGAGCAGCTGCCCTTGGAATCTCATGTCTGCGTCTGCTGAGGAGGACAAGGACACCCCAAGAGAAAGGCTCAGAGCCGGCCTGGAGGCCTGGAGCATCTTGACGGCACACTTGGCTCTTTAACAGGCTGTATGTCGGGGGTGTCGGGGTGGTGATAATACAGGATCACTGTGAAAATCATCAACTCCAGCAGTTAAAAAAACTGCAATTTCAGCAGAGGTCTGGTTCCGGTTAAGATGGAGTGAGCACATTCTGCCCTATCTCCTTCGCTGAATACAACCAAAAGCCTGGATAGGGTGTGGAGGCGGCGCCCTGAGCGTTCTGGAAGTGAACGGTGGCAAGCGTTCTGGGGAAGGAAAGCAGACGAGAAGCACAAAGGGTCTGGTGGCACGTTCCCTCCCAGGACTCAGATCAGCACAAATCCTGAACTGGCCATCAGAAAGAGGGCCAAGAGAATGCCTTTCGAGTGCAGACAGCACGAAGTGGGGCTCGGACAGAATGGAAAGAATCCTCTGGGTTTCTTTTTTTTTTAAATTATTTACCAACCCTGTCTCCAGGCAAGCTCTGCTCTTGAAGCTGCAACCCCTGATCAATGGGGGTCGAATTGATGGAAGCACAGAAATGCTGAGTATCTGGCTAAAGAGAATAGTCCTGCCTTCAGGTTTGTTAAAATATGTATAACAGTTGAAAGCAAAAAGCACAGCACTGACTGCTAGGGTTTTCAATATATATACGGATATAATACCGACACATCCTGCAATATATAGGGAGAGGTGAAGGGACCTGGATGGTGGCAAAGTTTCTAGATTCCATTTGAAGTAGTAAAATGTTAGTTCTATGTAGACTATGAAAAGGTAAGTAAGTATCATTAGAACAATCACTAGAAAAAAGTGCAAAAAAAAAAATAGTAAACAAACAAAAGCCAAAAGCAATCACTAAAAATCCGGCCAAAGGGAACCAGTCTGTCAGCTGTCAGCGGCCTGTCACTTGCGGCACGGTTTGAAAACACAAATGGGCTTGTCAGATTTTCTCTCCGAAATGTGAAAATGGAAATCAGAAATGGTGACTTCAGAGTGAAGCCTGGACTTCAGTGGTTTTCTGGGACACTTAGGGCTGGCAGTCAGAAGAGGCCATGACCAAGTCTGTGTGTTAGCAAAGACTGGAAGAGACAGTGAGCAATGCGGGGGACTGAGGGAGGGACCCCAGGTCTGCTGCCCGGGCCCACTGGGTGGAGAGGCATCTCCTGCACCGCTGGAGCCCAGCAGCTTCTCTACGCCTGGCAAACGGGCACGCGGCCCCCTCCACAGCTGGATCCTCAGCCAGGCTGAGTCTATACACTCCTCACAGTACAAAGACTTGTCTTCAAGGTTTGTGTTTTTTGTTTCAGACAGAAAAGGCCCAAGAATGGAGGGAGGTGCACTAGGCCCAGGGGTCTTTAGGATACCAGATTCCCCGGGCTTTGTGACTCAGCGCTGACTGACCAGAGTTCTGGTCCCACCCTCAAAAGCATTTACTCTCAAAGACAGGGAGGGACAGTCTTGTGGGTGCAGAGTCAGCCCTGCTGCCCTCTGTGACTGGTGACATCTATAGTACTTTCTGATTTGTGAGCCACCTGGGAATTGCTCAATGGGTGTGTACAGAGCAGATGACAGTCAGGTCCAAAGTCTCCACTCCATCTGCAGGGCCAAAGTCAAACTCATAACCACAGAGCCGATGTCCAGCTCACACCCACAGATCAGAGGTCACTCCCAGACCTGCAAGGCCAAGGTCCTCACTAGACTCATGGGGCCTAGGTCTCCACCAACGCAGCTAAGGTCTACGCAGACGTACAGGGCAAGGCCCAGCCCGGCCCCCACTGGTGGCTGGTCCCAGGATGTCCTCCCAGAGCAGTGGCCTCCCTGTCTCAGTCTACCTTTCTGGAGCAGCAACAGCAGCTGCCGTAAAGTTAACGCCCGTCTCCACTGGAGCTTTTTTTTTCTTTGAGACAGGATCCCACTCTGTTGCCCAGGGTTCAGTGCAGTGGGTGACCACAGCTCACCGCAGGCTGCTGGGCTTTTTCATGTTCACGCCATAACATCTGAGTCAGCGCACCAAAGAGGAACGCACCCCACCAGCCCTTGAACATAATGCAAGCATGATGGCGGGTCCCTGTCACGAGGCCCAGCTGGGTCACCAGCATTGCCTAGGAGGCTGGCCTGCTGGCCTACGTTTTAACCCTTCATTGCCCCCCATGCTCCCATTTTCTGGTGGGCTGGCCTCCCTGGGCCTGCTCTTTTCCTCTACCCTCTCCCTCACTTCCAGGACTCAGCTGGACAAGCTTGACCACACTCGTGGGCACAGGCCCTCCGAACGTGCTGTCTGCCCCGTCTGAAGTCCCCGGACTGCAGGGCAAGGCCTGTCACAACAGTGTGGAGCTACCTGTGAAGGCAAGTCTGTCCTCTTCTATTTTCTTTCTGAGGTGTTTGATTTCAAAGTCCCTTTCCTTCAGCAGCTTACTCAATCGCCCGTTCTCGTCCACTGTTTCCCTGAGCTCGTTTCGAAGGTGTTCAATCTCATCTTCAAGCACCCTACAAGGCAAAGGCAGAATTAATGCTCCTTCAAGGCAAAGACCCTGGTGGGCAGGGGTCAGGCCTCCAGTGCCCAGGTGGACACGCAGACATGCAGATGCAGATACACACACGTGAAAGAAGAAAGGTTTGAATGCCGTATTCATTAGCTGGCTTCAATAGGGAGTTATAAAAAACCCCCAATTAGAATTCATACTTCTTTTAAGCATCCATGGAGCATGCATAAAATATATCACAGGGCTGGGTGTGGTGGCTCACACCTCTAATCCCAGCACTTTGGGAGGCCAAGGCAGGAGTCTGTGACTAGCCTAGGCAACAAAGAGAGACCCTGTCTCTAAAAATGAAAGGAAAAATTAGCCAGGCCTGGTGGTGTACACCTGTGATCCCAGTGACTCCAGAAGCTGAGATGGGAGGATTGCTTGAGCCCAAGAGCTTGAGGCTGCAGTGAGCTGTCATCTTGCACTCCAGCCTGAGTGACAGTGCAAGGCCCTGTCTCTTAAAAAAAAAAAAAGAAAAAGTATTATAAGCTATAAAGGCAATCTTAGCAAATTCCAAATAATAACATTATATAGACTTTCTTCTCTAACGGCAAGTGACTATATTAGAAATCGATAATAAAAAATAGAAATAAAACAAGAGGCTGGGCGCGGTGGCTCAGCCTGTATTCCCAGCACTTTGGGAGGCTGAGGCGGGCAGATCACGAGGTCAAGAGATGGAGACCAACCTGGCCAACATGGTGAAACCCCATCTCTACTAGAAATACAAAAATTAGCTGGGCGTGGTGGCGTGCATCTTGGGAAGCTAAGGCAGGAGAACAGCTTGAACTCTGGAGGCAGAGATTGCAGTGAGGTGAGATCGTGCCACTGCACTCCAGCCTGGCGCAGAGCAAGGCTCCATCAAAAAGGGAAGGAAGGAAGGAGGGAAAGAGTGAAGGAGGGAAGGAGGGAGGGAGGGAAG